GCAACCAATAATTTGATCTAATCATATGAATAGTGTAAAGGCCTGACTGCAACAATATCATTTTATTAAAAGAGGAAATCCACATTGTATTTTTTCTGTAACAGACTAGCGATCTCTAAATGTAGATTCCCTGCTGTCAAAATCCTCCTTATATGACAAAATACACATCCATGTCGGCGTTTCTGGGAGCCAGTGATGCAAACGCTGACAGTCGAGGGTTCATATATTGCATTTTATCCAACTTTAATGGAGTGACACATCATGCTCACCTCCCCATTTTTTGCTTGTCAGTCATCTTTACTGCAATGAATAAAGCTTTGCGCTGGTACAAGCTGTCACTCTGTCACTCAGACGCTTAAAAAAGACTTCATGTCACGATTCAGGTGGAGCTGGGGAGGAATCCCTGCATCACATTTGATTTATTTCCGCGTCTAATCTTTTTTTTATTTTAGGCAGACTCTGTTATCTCCCTAAGGTGAGAATCACATTTTAATTAGGCTCATCCCTGGTCGTGCACATTAACTCCGCACCTCGCTGTTCTATGTGCTCATCTTGTGGGCTTTTTTGTCGCAGGCCCTCGGTCCCCGTTTTTTGTGAGAAGCTCTCGTACTCCCTTCAAACTCCTCCATCTTGTGCCACATCTTCATTCTTTGACTGCTCCATCTCCACTCACAATCTTGCTCTCTCGCTGCTGACAACAAAAAGCTCCCTGTCTCACGAACAAAAAATAAATAAATAAACTGTGTTTTACAGATGGGAATAGCACAATAAACAGCCAAAACAACAGAAACAAACAGGAAAGAAAATGCATAGATTGCACATCCTGTGTGCATAGAACTACAAAAAAAAAAGAAAAATACAACGAAGCACAAACATAGCAATCCACCAGTTCCTGGGTGACCAACAGGCCTGTATATGAAATAAATGAATCTATTTAATGGGCTGCTTCTGACCCCGAAAGGGCCAGGGGAGAGGCCATATTTGCGAGACACCACATACTCTGCAAACTCCCTTTACTGAAGTTTTGTGTCACTAATTGACACAACCGCTTCCAATAGAGATGAACGAACTAGCTAATGAGACCCAACCCAGCTGTCAACAAACTATGCATCACGATGCAAGAAGCTACGCTAATAATAGAACGCTGTCATGTGCTGTTATGGCATGACGGTGACACATTTTACCCTTTGATCCTACAACAGGCTTTTATAGCTCTTCGCCTTTAAAAAAAGACATCTCTTTGCACTCGCTGTTTTTCCTCCAATTCACTCTGTAACAACAATAGGGTCAATGTTGACCTGCCACTCTGTCAGCTCCCTAGCTGAGGAGGAACTCTGAAGCTCCTTTAAATAGTAGAATTTATGCATAAAAGGCGATGCCCTGCATTCTGCAGAGGTACAGCCACATTAAAGCAACAAGCTAATGATATACAGTTATAATGAGAAGGGTGAGATGTTCCTAGGAAGCACTGAAATACCTGCATGTACAAACGCCTCGAAAGTGACTTTTTTTAACGTTGTCATAACTGAATCATTTATCATAATGTAACAAAACAGATATTCGATTTAGCCGTTTGAGCAGAATTGTTATTATGACGCACAATTATATGATAGGTTCATGATTTTTTATATTAATTACTAAATAATCAGAATAATTGACTCGTTGATTATTCTAAAAATATTGATTTAGGTGTTTTGGAATTTTTTTGTTGATCACAAAATACATTGTTGCTTTTTAAAGTAAGACTAGCCATGCACATTTCCAATGGCAACGACATTAGCATTGGTATTCCACACATCGCAAATGTCATCTATGTTCACATGTGCTGCTTCTTAGTTATGACTGATCAGGAAATAATCAAAATAATCCAAAAAAGGGGCTAATTTCTGCTTTGAGTGTTCTGGATACTAAACTGTTAATATTATATATTATTAAATTGGGGCTGCATGATGCCACAGTTGGTATAGAGATGGTTGAAGGGTTGAATCCCAGCTAAAGCCTCTCTGTGGGGAGCTTGCATGTTTTCTCGATGTTTTTTTCCAGGTACTTCAGTATCCTCCCACAAAGAAAGACCGTACATGTGTGAAGTACTGAAGACTAAACTGTACCATGGTGAGAGCGAGTGTGTGACGTGTTTGTTTCTGTGTGGCCCTGTGAAGGACTGGCAATCTGTCCAGGGTGTCCCCTGCTCCTCACCTGATGACAGCAGGAATTAAATACCAGCTCCCCATTGGTGGACTAAGCCTACTGGTGAGTAAGTGGTTCAGAGGATATAGGGATGGATGGATGAATAATTAGATTGGACATAGCATCAATTTTTTTTTTAAATTCCCACTACAAAAGTGAGAATTTAGTTCCTGTCATGCATGAAACAACTCAACTTTAACTAGTTACTTTTTCTGATGCCATTCCTGGAGTTCTATCATTACATTTGTAAGTCATACCGTTTCAATGCAAACAGCAGCTCCACAATGTTGCCTTCAGTGTCCATACTTTTTACTACCAATGCCTGGCCTGTTGCAGTTTTTTTGTTCTTTTTATAAAATCAGCTAAAAAAAGGTGACTCAATATATGCTTTATTCAAAGAATATTGTGGTGGAAAGCTAAAGAAACTTGAAAAGCATGGACGCAACATTGTGCTATTTGTTAGTTTGAAATTCTAGCATTCCTCTACATGTTTGGCTTATTCAAGGTGGTGGTTAATGCAAGATCTGCTTAATTTGCCATGGTAGGTTTAAAACTAGCTTGGATGTAGCTGACACATGACTAGAGCATGCTGCTGAAATACAGAGCATAGATTAGTGGTGTGACGGAAAAATGTTGCTATTTCAGTTGTTAATGGAATTAAAACCATTTATTCATAAATAAAAATATGTGATGACTAGATTTGCCAATGACAACTCATTAGGAAAGTTGATGTCATTAACAGTGTAGGGGGTAGCTCATTATTTTACGGTAACTATAACTTTTACCAGTAACTATTAATCTCATGACTTACATTTTAAATAAGATACCGTTACCCTTGAGTGTGTTTGTTCTTTACCTGTCATTTGCGTCACCTGGACATTTTAGGGATGGACCACTGGAAACACAATGGCGTCAGCTAGCATTTCATCCCTGCTATGACAGATTTACTCACCAAGTTTGAATGCAAGGATGGATCCAAACTCTTGGATTCCAAACACGTTCCTTAAAATGTGCTAAGTGAATTTGGCACTGCACAGGTGAAATGTTAGCTGTCGCCATATTTCCACTGATATGTCCCCTAAAATGTCTGAGCCAGACTTCATTTAAGTATTATGAAATTTAATTAGCTTTGAACACTTGTTAACTGCTATCAGTTTGTTAATTGCTATCAGTTTCACACATTTCACATTGTAATTATCGGATTGAGTAGTGAACTGTCACAATTTGTTTTATAGCAAAAATGTTTAGCAAGAGTCATCTAGAAATGTAAGTTGGTATTTTTATGTGAACAGTCACTAATGTGGCCCAAGAAAAATACAACACACACTACATGCAACAAAAAAAATTGTAGTAGTCTGAAAATGTAAATTATTCTTGCAAAGTTAAGGTACAGCGTTGCCTAGTCAATTACACGTTCTTATCGTACAGAAACGTAGAAGTCAAAATTCATGTGGTGGTGCAGTGCAATGAAAAATAAATAACTAAATAAATAAATAGCTGACATTCAAGTTGATTATTGTTTAAAAATTCCATTTTGGAGCAGCTGCATTATGTTTTTATAGTTATTGTTTATATAATTGTTCAATAATTTCCTGTGCTGAAAAATGAGTTTGTGTTTGATTTTATATTATATTTTGTACAGCAATGAAATAAAGTCAAAAGGACGGAATTGGTCGCCTGGCCAGCCATGCCAGTGCTTCCTTATGGGAAGCAAAGGGGCTGGCTAACGAGCCAATCAGTGCTGAGCAGCATACGTCACACCCTGCGACGCTCAGTTTCTCATGAACGGCATTAGTTTAAGCAGAAGTCGCTGAGGCTCCTTTCTCTGTTCTAAATGACCTGGGCACATCTTTAAAACCACAAAAAGAAGAAGCGCTAAAGCCTTTCTTCTAAAGAAAGATGTTTGTGCCATCGCCAGACGCCATATTTGACTACAGCTAAAAAACTACAGCATTGTGCGGTACAGTTGTCATTTACACCTTTTTTCTGATTGGTTATTTTTGAACAGGCTAGTCCCACCCCTCATGGTGCTCTCTGCCTCTAAGTATCCAGACTTCTCCTCTATGCAGAACAGAGAGAGGACGAGTCTGGCAGGCCTGACTACAACAACGGGGGCATTTTTAAGAGTGTTCTTTTAAAATAGTAACTAAATGACAACTATTCATAGCAGGCCCTGGAAAATGGACCTCCTTTAGACCTGCACATCTAAGCAGTTGTTTTAACTCATGATCACCTAGAGGCAAAAGGAATGCTTGCAGCAAACACAGTATTGTCTGCTCAGACCTAGTGCTTCAGATTTATTTAGAGGGCAAATGCTCCATTAGTTGAGCTTTTTTAATTAGCGTTCTTGTGAGAGAGGGTCATTAAGGATGTCTGACAGAGGACCTACTGATGAGGGGAAGAGAGGCACAGCTAACATCACCCCCTCACACATACACACACTCACACACACACATTCACACAAGCACAAATGTGCTTAAAAACCAATAATATTTCACACAGTCAATGAGAGCAGTAAGTCAACGCCACAGGTGACAAGATGTCTCCATTCTGAAATGACCACAGGAGAAAACGGATGTCTCTATCACCAAATCTCTCTCACACACACACACACACACACACACACACACACACACACACACACACACACACACACACACACACACACACACACACACACACACACACACACACACATACACACACACACACACACACACACACACATACACACACTAACACAACCAATTAGAAATATTTACATTAAGATACATATTCATACATGTTATAATGAGACCAGACTGTCAGCATACCATTCTCTGGGTGTTCTGTTTCACCGATGCTGCCATCCGGGGTGGTTCTCTCATAATGGTCCTCGGGCAGGGTGAGGGGTCCGATACGAGGGCCAGATGATGATTTGCTGCTGGGAGTCTCAGATTCCTCCAAGCCGCTGTCATAGTAGCTGTGCTGAGAGGCATCCTGCAGGTCCTGCACTGGGTTGGCGGTGGAAAAGGTCACTCGGCGATGGGGAGGCTGAAAAAAACAGACATCAAAAGACCTTTTTCAACATCAACAAATACTTTTTGGCCCCAACTATATTTTCCAATTACATGTTCTTTTGTTGCTGATGGGTCCTCAGTTGTAAATGTTACAACGTGAAGTGCAGAAATTTAAGATTAGCCCAAATCCCTCGGTCTCTATAAAACTCACAATCCACAAGTTAGAAAATAATATAAAATATTAAACACTTTTTAAATTATTAAACAGTCTTTTGCACTATTATTTTTCTGAATATTACATAAGGTAGAAATGTGTAGAGAGAATGAGGTTATGTATTTCAGTAATAAAAATGAGCAAAACGGCACCAGGAGGGATGAATAAATTCCAACTAAAGTACAAAGCGTTCCATATTACAATTATTAGACCTAGATGAGCAAATAAGAGCCAACATTTGAACAGGATATTGGTGCCATCTTATCTAAACAAAACAACTAGAAAAACAAAATGATCAGAACATTGAGTATACATGAGGCCAGAAAAGCAAGTATACTCATTACAGCGCTAATCCTTAAACAGCTTTAAATAAGAAAAGATTTTCAAAGATGCAAACTTTCTTGTAATGTTTTAAGGGATCTATGCTAATTTCCCTTATTGTGATGTCACAATGAGGGCCGTTTCTAACACATTATTTCAGGCTAAGTCCAAAGACAGACAGAATATAGATAGATAGCTTTTTTTCATGTTTGGAGTGTTTATTGAGGTAGCAGGGACCAACATGGAAGCTCAAAAGGCTTCCTTTCAAAACCATGCTGTATTTCATGTTTTGCCAGCAGACAAATATCTAATTTGAACAGTTTTTTTCAAGAGCAAGTCACCCTCAAATAAACCTTATTTTGCTGATGAACTGTACACATGAGTTTTTATTATTGCTGTAGACATGTGTAGTAATTAAATGGGCTATTTAGTGGATCTTAATTAAAATTTAAATATTCTGCCTGACTTTGTCAGTGTAGCGCCCTCTTCAGGGCAAAGGTCTGCACAAAGTTTGACTTTGAATTAGCCATGCTGTTGGCTAAGAGCAACCCTGTGACGTATCTGGAACCATATTACATGGCTGCATCGCACTGCACTACAGCCACTCAGCTACGTCTCCGGCTGGCTCAAAGCTGCTCACCTCCTTTGTAAAATACCTTCCTTTCTTCTGGTGAAGGAGGTGGAGAGCATTCCTCCGACTATGAAATGTGCTGTTGTTTCTTTGCCAGGGCACTTCTCCAGCTGAATGGTGCGTGTACTTGTTACTGGCTTGTTTCTCCAACAGAGAAACTCAGAGAACATGCGCTGGAGGGTGTGTGGGTGTTGGGGGGGGGGGGGGGGGGGGGTGCCCTCCTCTTGGTCCGACAGGTGACGTGACGAGGCGATGAGTAAGAGTTTAGAAGGGGGGTAACTTGCTCTTTAAGTGTGTGTGTGCAGTTAGCCGCTCTTGGACTTTGTGCCTGGGAGGACTTTGAACTACTAACACATCCAACTGCAGATCAATAATTGCAAAACTGACCAGTTTATAGTCATTTTTGTGTTTGCTGGTATGCGAAATAGCTAAAAAACAACACAAAATGTATCTTCCTTTTGTCTTTTAACTGAAGAAAATGTGGGTCCTTCAAGTATAGATCAGTGAAGGATGACTCGTGACTTCTGCATGGTTCTGTCTATAACAATAAGCAGCTGTTGCTGAACTTAGAGATTAATTTGCTGTATTTATGTTCAAGAAACAACATAAAGGTTTTCTGTTTAATTAGAAATAATGCATAAGTACCATGTGCTTGATTTAGCTATTTAAAGTTTACCATCTGGCTAGACCCAGACTTTATGAATGAAACATACATATATATAATGAAGTGATGATGGGGGATCATTGATATTGTCCTGCAGGATGATGTGGGTGATGGGGTGAGGGTCTGAGTTTGGGGTATCCGGACATTCCCTGGGGGTGGGTTCATTGGGGGTGTCTGGGACTGGAGGGCTGCTGCCCCCCTCTGGAGGTGCTTGCGTTGCCTCGGGGGGTGGACTACTGACGGTTGTTAGTGGGGCCCCTTGGGAGTCTTGGTGGTGGCCATGGGTCGCTGCCTGGCAGCTGCATTGCCCCTGAGTGGGTCTGGGTGGGGGCCTGGGGGCTCGGGTTGTGGGGTTGGGGTTGGCAGGCCCCGTGTGGGGATCTGGGCGAGGCCTTGGTAGTCGGGTCCTGACATGTATGCTGCTGGGAAGAAGGCAGGAACATGCGGCAGTGCCTGGCCCGGGCTCAGGGGCCTCGGGTAGACCTTGGCTCCTCTACTGTTCCATCACAGGGGAGGGGGATGTCCAGGAGGGGAAGAGCCCAACCTTACCTGGATGCCCTATGTCTTATATATTCTGGAAGTTGTGCAAATGCAGGGATGGGAGTAAATATTCTGCTGAAGTGGGGCTGAGTTGGTGCCCTCGGACTCCATGAGGCTCTATGATGCTGCTGCTTTGGGCCCTGGCAAGATGGGCTGGGGTCTCCATGCCACGAGTGGCATTTTGGCAACAGATGTGCTTATTGGGGCCAGTGGGGCAGTTGGCTCCCTAGAGGGCTTAAGTTCAACCAGTCATTCCTCCACATCCCAACACATTTTTCTCCTCCTGCTCCCTCACATCATCATACAATCATGCACATAGGGCCTTGGGGGATGGACAAGTCAGGGGGTGCGGGTATAGACCCCATTTCCACATTCCTGTGGCAACCTGCCTCCCTATTTTATTTGCACCTTAAACACTTCCACCAACAACATTCCACACAAGCACACACTTAGGGCCTTGGGAGTGAGCGCATACAACAGCATTTGGCAGGGGGATTTTTCAGCCTCATCCCGAGTGCCAATGCCCATTTCCAATTTTAAACTGCACTTAGACACTGAGGGCTGTGGGTGCAAGTGGGGTGGTGTGGTGGCATCAGCTGGTGTAGGACAGATGATGCCGCACTGCCAGCTCACCACAGCCATGGAATACACCTCATCAACATGCACTAACACTATATTGGAGCAGGCAGAGGGAGACTAGGGGTCTTAGCACACCTCTGTTGTTGCTTGGCTTCCTGGGGCTGGAGGCTAGGGCGGAGATCTGGCCGTCCGGTTGGGCTCTGGGTGGTGCGTTGCTTTGCCCAGCGTTGGGCGGGGGAGCCTGCTCATCGGCACCCCAGCAGGAAGGGTCAAACTCTGGGAACCGGTAATGGTTGTACCCCATGTGCAGCAGTACCGGGACCAGAGTGAATAGAGTGTGTATGGGGAGCATGAGCGGGTGTCTCGGCATGCATTTTTGTAAGTCTTAGGTTGTATGTGTGTGTGTGAGCATGAGGGAGGGAGTGTGTGACTGTGTTTGTGTATGACTGTATATGTCAGGTGGAGCCTTTGACTCCTCCCTTCTCCTGGGACTTCTTTTGATACTATACATCTTCACCTCCCCTCCCCCTGCCACACCTGGTGTGGAGTGTGGTGCCTTGGTCTGCCTGAGTGTTCATGGCTCTGGTGGGATCTGGGTCCCTGGGCTCTGTGGGGTCCCCAGCGGGGGTGGGAGACTGCGGGCGGGCCTGTGGGCTTGCAGCTGATATCTCCTGGGACTCTGCTGGCTGCTGGTTGTGGCCCACCAGGGCAATCCTCTGCGCCTCTCGAGGGGGGCGGGGGCTTTTCTGGTTGCAGTCTCCTTGGGGTCCCTGAGCTCTGGGGCAGCTCCTGGATCTCTGGGACTTGGAGCTCCCTCCATCTCCTATACATCTTTGGGGGGCAGACCTGTTGCCCCACACACTCTCTGTTGGACACTCCTAAAGAAAAACCTTACATATACAAGCGCGTGTTCACATGGTGCTCTCATGGTTATGGACTTGGGCGCATTCAACACATGTCTTAAGGCTGTGGTTGGCACTAAATGCACTGACTTATTATCGTGTGATTGTTAAATAAAACAATGTTGATTTTACATTTCTTCATCAGGTTGACATAGTGATAGATTGCTCTTGTTGTATTGTGTGTCTGCAGGTCTAGAAGCAGACTCTTGTTCATCATTGATTCTTTATTTTTGAGGACCCCCTTTTGTTTTGACACACCTTTTGTCTGTTCCTTTCTCTTTCACCTCTGTCTCCGTGTCCGCTCGAAATTACAAAGCATTCACAAAACAATAACAATAAAGTTTTAAGTTTCTGGCATGACATTAAAAGCAGATGCTTTCATGCTCCACCTGAGAGTAAAATCTGTAAGGCTTGTCACCAGCATTCAGACATTGTTTCTGTTTGCTTCACAGCCAGACAGGACAAGAAAAAATAAATAAAGATAAATGAATGAAGCATATACAGCATAATAAGCTATGTATGCAAATATAACATACACAAATGCAGATGCAAACATGATCAAACAGCATAGGGTGTTGCTGAAACCAAGCATTTGAGAAAAAAAAACTGCTATTGCTGTTATTGTATTCATTAGTCAGACAGCAGTTTCATTTTCTAAATCTGTCACAACCAAATGAATTCTGATGACAATGATTGGTGCACTAATCAGTAGCCCCAGTGAGGTCCTTCCTATCACCATATTTCAATATTTCTTCCTCCTCGGCTTTGATGTTTAATCCAGCTTGAAAAAAAAAGTGAGACAAAATTTTTACAATTTAAAAAATCCTAAAACAGAATAAAACTAATCTAATGAACAAAATAGTACAGAAAAGACAATTCGGGACAGGCGTTATTTTGCAAGTACTTGAATGTGTTATTAAACCCTGCTTCTGTTGTTTTAGGCTGATTTGATTTGATCAAAGATAAAAAAGTAAATGAAGGAATAAAAAATACTGATGAATTCCTGAATTTGATCGCTTGAGGAGAAGCAGAACGGCACGCAGTAACTCATTGAAGATCACACCCTTTATCAAATTAAATGGCTTGTAAATACAGTTAGGAGACCATTAAATTTCCTCATCCAAAGATCAGTTTACTAATGGCTACTCACCACCGATCCACAACAGAAAGATGAGTCCTTCCA